CAGAGATTTAAGCATGACGCTGCAGCCTCCAAATCCAGGAGGAGATGAGCCTTGTACCTATTGGCTGAAGTAAAAATATGAGACTTCAACTTGAGGGGTGGAGGTTGACTCACAGCTTTTGAATGCTGGGGTTTGGCAGAACAAAAGCTGCTTTGTTGCAGTTAGGGACAGTAAATATGCCCAAATCTTTGGTAGTCAAGTATCTCCCTTTCATTTCATTAATATTTCACAGAAGTGCAAGGTCAGACTCATCCGTTCACTTGCTCTGTGGTAGTTCCTGACAGCGTTTCCTGGTTTTTGCTAACTAGGGCTGGTGTGGGATGTAAGGGCTGGCTTCTGGGGAATTCACCCAATGGACTTTTGTTTCTGTACAGGGCTCCAAGCGCATTCTGCGGTCTCATGAGATTGTATTGCCCCCAAGTGGACATGTGGAGACAGATCTTGCACTGACCTTCTCGCTGCAGGTGAGGTGGGATGTGGCTTTGGAGCAGGTGTGCTTGCTGGACTTGCTGCTTTGCAGTGAGCAGAAGTGCATTGTGGGTCTGAGGTGAAGATCCTTCTAGTGCTGTTGATGTGCTTGTTCTTAAGGCAGTTGCAGCCATTTCTGAAGAACTATCTGAGCTCTTTTGGCTTGTCTCTGAGCAGCCATATTTGGGGAATTTGAGCAAAAATAGGCCAGATGATTCTAGGATCTGGGAACAGGGAAGCCCACTAGGAAAATGGTGTATAAACCCTTAGAATTGTTCTTGGTGCCAGCTCTTCATCATGGAAGGAGATCTCTAATCCTGAGTTGTTCAGGGGGAACAGAAAAGTTAGACATTATCTGCAATTTGCATGTCCTGAGTGCCACAACACAAATTTGTCTGAATTGCCTCTCAGCATTGAGGGCCTGGACAGGATGCTGGTTCACAGTATTAGGGGACCTTCCTTGTTGTGCATCCTGTGTTTGGAGCCCAGGAACATGAGGACTTTACAGTCTGTTCTCTTTACATTATGGCTGTGGCAGGAACTGGAGCAGAGCAGGATGGCTCTGTTTTGTCTTAAGTTGCCTTCTTTATGAATAGGCACTGGAGGGTGTCAGCCATGTGAGGTGGCATGGAGTATCAGGCTGATTGAAAGCAGTAGTAGGAATGGGACAGGTGAACCTCTGATTTGGAGTTGCCAAAGGAGGCACCATTTGTGGGAAGCAATAGCAGTATGCAGACAGTTACTCCTGGCTCTGGAGTCATAGGAGTAGGTGGGAATTGGAGCAACTATATTCTGTTGGTTCCGTTTTTCCTAAAAGCAGGGAAGTAAGGTAAATAGAGGCTGGCTTGCTGCAAGCAAGACGGAGGAAGCTGCATGCATGGAGCAGAGCCAGACAAGACACTCGGAAGCATTCATATCTGGATTATCTGTGGTTTGGGACTGTTGGTTACATCTTGAAGTCAAGAGTTTGATCTGGTACGGAGAAAGCCTCAGGTGAGACACTGTGGCGGTTACTCAGACCTCTGCAGACTCGAAGCAGCTAAGATTTCATTGCATATGGATGATAACCCTGCAGCTGCCCAGGCAGATACACAGATGACTGATGCTTCTGGTTCTGTCCTGATGCAGCTTACAGACTGGATTAACTGCAGCATTGCATCCTCTCTTTTGTGAACAGGAATAAAAAAGCCATGTGCCAGGAATATGTATGCTTGGCTCTTGGGGCTGCAGCTTTCTATGGTTGGGAGCAGAGCTGCAAGATGTGCCAGGTCTCCCTTTGCCAGTCCTGTGTCAGTAAGGAGCAAGTAATTCTGCAGATCTTCTTGGAATTAATCGGGAATGTGTTTGGTTGTTTTGATTTGGATTTTTTTTTTTTTTTTTTTCCTGGGACTCAGAGCAGGGCTGCAGTAGGATGCAGAGCATTGTCTATAACTCGGTTTTTCTTGGAGGGGCTGGGAATTGAGCCAGAATAATAGGGGAGAGCGATGTCCATGACACTGAGCCTTTAGAAGAGGTGAACAAGCATAATGCAGGGATGTGATGCTGGTCTCTGACTGCAGGAAAGATTGGTGGTCTTGGATGCAGCAAGGCCTGGGAAGCCTTCCTGAAATGTCACAGCAGGATTTTTATGACAACTTTTATTGTTTCTTAATTGGGTGGCAGCTGGAAGCTACTTCTAGCTAACAACTGCAGTTTAAGCCAGATACGGTCTGAATTTAGCGCCTGGGATATATTTGAGAGTGGTGATGAGCCACAAAGTAAAAGCATGTGGATGTCACAGAACAAAAAGGTCTTGGTGTCTTGCAGCAGGCAGTATGTCCATACTGCACTGTCATCTCTTTTGATTTGGATTTATTTTTTTTTTCCTGGGACTCAGAGCAGGGCTTACCTTTGTAAGCCTTACTTTGTGCTAGCTGTCTAGATTTGCAGCCCCTTGTATCTCCACAGTCACCACCTTCTCAGCTGCTTTTCCTGGGTGAAATTCTTGTCCTTTGCACAGAGTATTTCCTTGTTCAGAGCTAAGCTGGAAAGGTGACAGTGCTGGCTAGCATAATAGTGAGCAGCCCATTGTGTCTGGCAGGCCTCTGCTCAAACAGAAGGGAGGAGTTTCCCGTTGCTCTGTTACACAGCTGGGGTAAGACTGGAGTTATTGATGTTGTCTGATCATGTTTTACCTTACCAGCTAGAGCTAGACCAGTGGTAGCCTTTCTGGCAGGTGACCTACCGTCCCCCTTACTGCTGTAATGCCTGCTTCTCTGGACCTTCTGTGAGTTTCACAGGATCAAGTGAAATTCCCCAGATTATTCCAAGCACAACATCCCAGCTTTCCGGAACACTTAATTCCTGTGTTTAATCTCATAACTTTTTCCGCATGGAAGGGATTACATCACTGGGGCTTCAGAAAGAATGTCTTGCCCTGTTTCTTGTTATTCTGATGTGTGTGATGGCCCCTTCTTCTCACCCTTCTGAGGTGCTTTAGGGCACATGGTGCTTCCTCTAAAAGCCTTGGTTTTGAATGTTTTGAGTCAAATTGTTTTCCTCTCCAATCTCTGTCACAGCTGACAGCTACTGAAACGTTTTCATTGAAACCCTTCGGTAGAGTTGCTAAGTCATGGCTGGTGTTTAAAATAGCTTGTCTGTGTTATGAAAGTGGGTTGGCTTTTCTTCTAGAGGCCTTTACTTTTAACAGAGGAGCTGAGTAGCCTGAGTGTCTCTGTGCTCATCAGAGGTGGCCAAGCAGCACACCTTTGAAAAACAGAAACTTGCACATGTGTGAACTTGAGCCATCCAGTTTAATCCCTGAAAGTCAAGCTGGCCTGGGACCAAGCATGGCTTTGGACCTTAGTTGCAGGCTTGTACTTAAGCAGCCTTGGCATGGCCCAAGTGCTCTGAACTGAAAGCAAGGAGTCCCTCTCCCCTGCTTCCCTTCCAACACGTGGAAGAGCCCCAGAGGAAAGAAGGTGGTAGACTTGAATGCAAAAGTTGCCTTTGGCTTTTTGAGCTCCTCTTGTCCCTTCCCCCTAATAACTTTCTTCCCTCCTTGTTTAGGGATGTTGCATGTCTGTAAAGTCACAGGCTCCATTTGTGTCTGGATGCAGGTGTGTTGTTTTGAGGTTGTCTTTTAATTATGTGGGCTCCTGTTCCTCTCTTCTGCCTTGTGCAGTGCACAGTTGATCTGCTCCTGCAGAGCAATTAGTATTCTGCTTGTTTGTGTGGCCACTGCTTCCAGCTCTCTGCATAGCAGTCAGGCTTGCTCTGGACTCTAAATTCCATCTCTGGGTTTCTGGTGGCACTCAGCATTTGTATTTATCACATGTTTTGATTGGCAGTAAGTTATTTTCATAATATCCCAAGGAGAAAAAAAAATATAGGTCTTGCCTGTGGGAGAAGCATCTTTCAGTTGGGAATGTCCTGGGTGAGATCCCTGCAATTAGGTTCTCCTGTCTGTAGGTTACTTAGTGCTATGTATTTTGTGTATTTGGAGCATGTGTCCTATTCACCTCTTGGGATGAGACTGGTCAGATGGCTGCTGTAATCTTTTCTTGAAGGTTGCTCTTCCATGAATCGGCTTCTTCCCCCAGCAGCTGAGCTGGGCCCTGTGGTGGTCAGTGCTCTGGCAAGTGCCCTGGCAGAAAGCAGGACCTGACTGCATTAATACTCTGTGTGAATGAGCAGGGCAAGCTGAGATAGCATGGTTAACCCCACGCTTCCCTAAAAATCTCTGCTTGACTTCACAGTCAAATAGAGTTTTGGGGAGGTTTTTTGGGATATATACAAACAAATGTATTTTCTTGTATGGAACATGTCTTGGAAAGATTTATGTCTTTTGCAACTTAGCCTGGCAGGGGCATTCTTGATATAGTTACTTAAAATACAACCACTTTGAGCATTAGAAGTTTGAGTGTGTTAATATTGGAATATACTGACAGTTGCAAGAGCTGTGTGGCTGGAGAGAATCATTGCATGATCGTGTAGGTCTCCATGCTTTAACAAAAGAGGCATCAGCAAATCCTTGGCCTCTCCATAGTTCTGCCTCTCTTTGCTTGCCATTCAGAGCACAATAGGTTCTTAAATGTGCGCAGTAGCAGGTCCAACACCGAGCAGTGGCCTTGTGTTGGAGGGAAGGCAGTGTCCTACCAAGAGTGTGGGAGTCCATGCCACTGCATGCTGCCTGCTTTTTGTGCAAGGGCAGCCTGTGTCCCTGGTGGCACCTCTGGGACTCCAGTTCTGGGCAGCCTCCATTCAGCTGTTGGGGGAAGTGTCTCCTGGAGGCTGCTTATCTCTCTGGAACAGGGATTGGGCTCAGACCTTCCCAAACTGAACATCTCCTTTGTGCCCCTGGATTGTGTTTTCATTGTGCTTGGCTGGGGAAATGAAAGCTCAGACCTGAGCTATTTGGGCAGAGATGAAGGCTTCCTTGGGATAATGAAGGATTGTCCACTGAGTGTCAGTTAGCTGTAGGCACTTCTGAAAGCCCTGGGGCTAATCCCTAGAAATGAAGTTTACTTGTGGAGCAGGCAGCTTGAGACATAATGTCAAGAGACATAATAAGTTTTCCATTGTGTTTCCGACTGCAGTACCCTCACTTCTTGAAGAGAGAAGGCAACAAGCTTCAGATCATGCTGCAGCGGCGGAAGCGGTACAAGAACCGAACCATTTTAGGCTACAAGACTCTGGCTGTGGGGTCTATCAACATGGCTGAGGTGAGCAGAATTTGTCATGATCTCTTTTTACAAAGGTAGACATTTTCCCTTCTCTTTAGACACAGTGTTGTCACTTTCCTCATTGAGTAGTACCTGGTGGGATTTCATATAGCTGTTTTAATAACTGCAATCAGTATTCAGTGGACAATTTTGTAAACAGATTTTACCACTGAGTGATACTATTGGATGTTTTCTGGATAGTATATTGAGAGTTAAAGCTTTCATGAGACTAGCTTATTGCCTTGTGAAGATTTTGTTACTGTATGTCGGGTTTTTTTAGAGTTAGGGGCTCCAGATCGTAAGTGCAGAACAAGATGGATAGAGTCCCTCAGCAAGCCTTACAATCCTAAGAAATGCTAAAGTTAAAGCAAGGTTTTCTGTGCTTCTCTGTCCTACTGAATGAAAGTTAAGGATCAAGTACTTTCTCTCATTTTTCTTGAAACACACTTTGCAATTCTTATTTCATGACTTGGTAATTTAGGTAGAGTTCTATTCATGAGAGGTAAATGATAAAATTTTCTGATTTACATCTGAAAATTAATGCTGGAATCAAGTACGGATAAATTATTCACTAAGGCTTTCTGAATGGCTTAGCTCCGTGCTTCATTGTTTCATGCCCTGTTTAATCTCTGCTGTTTCTAAGTACTTAGAGATGGACTTAGCAGTAGCAAGTTCAGGTTAACATCACTATTTTTCATCAGGCTGCATTCTGTGAACAAATCATTTCCATCCAAAATAAACTAGTTTTATGCTGTGGTGAGTTCTTACTGCATTAAATAATTATAAAGGCTACTCCATGTGTATGAGTTCAGCTTCCCTTAGACTTGCAGTAAATGGTGAACTCCCCATTTGAACTGGCCAAATTCTGGTGTGTAGCTGTGTTGTAGCTGACATTTTTCCTGGACCATGTTTGATTTGTTTAAGACTAGAAATTAAACACTTCTGTAAGGCAGAAAACATGTGGCTCCATTAATTAGACCCATCAGTGAACTTGTAAGTGTTGGGCACTTGCTGCTGCTGCATGTGGTTTTTCTTATGTCTCTTTGTAATGTCAGCTGACTGAGGTTAGAAGGTCAAAAATTTTCAAAGGTCCACTGTGTTAGGACATAGTTACTCTCCAAGCTCATCTGGACTGTTTCTGAAATCAAAGACTTGAGGAAAACAAATGCTACAAGCCCACCCTCCTTTGCAGTTTATAGTATAATGACCCCCAACAGCACTGACACATTTCTTAAAATTAAAAATAGAGTCCTCTTAGCTCTTGAAACAAAGCAATAAACTGGAGTTGTGAATCTCAGCACAGTTTAAGAGCCGGGGCGGGGGGGGTGGGTATATGTTCCTCATCAGCTCAGGTCTTTTTAAAGCCACATAAGGACCTGACAAAGCAGCCTTGTGTGTGTTATAAAGCTGAGGTGCAGGTGTGAGGATGCACTTTTGGACTCCAGTGAAGCAAGAGAAGAATATAAGTCTTAGGTTCTAGGAAGAACCCTGTGAGTATCAAAGGGAGGAGAAACCCCTACTGAGATGTCCCCCTGCCTCCACCATTTGTCTTGCTTTTCATGACCCACTGCTTTATTATCCTGGAGTGGCCAAATCCTCTTGAGATTCAGGTGCCAGCTCTCTGGAGCAGGGTTTTTTTGCTTTAGGAAGCACTTTGCATCTGTATCTTGCCAAGAATTTTTGCCTTTAATGGCTCTTCTGCTGGGCTTTAGCACAAAATGAAGTTCCTTCATTAGGTGTTCAGAAGGTTGGTAACTTGATAATTCAAATCAGTACTGTGCCATGAAAGCAAATACATAGTAATGTGGTATCGAGTATTGTGCTTCAAGCATGAGCTAATCGACTGTCAAGCTCAGAATGCTTTTTCTTTCCTTCCAGCGCTTCCATTAGTAGTCAAAATTTCAACTAGCATTGAATATTGCTTGCAGGTGGCTCCTGCAGTTGCAGGGTGCTGACTCGTGTCTGTACTTGGAAATGTGGAGTAACTCTATTAACATAAATATCTAATAATATGCGAATTATGCAAGTTGAAATACATTTAAAGGCCAATTTGTAATGCTTAGTTTCTGTTGCAGGTCATGCAGCACCCAACAGAAGGTGGCCAGGTTCTGAGCCTTTTCAGCAACATCAAAGAGGCTGCAGTGAAGGTAGCAGAAATCTGGATCTTCTCCTTGTCAAGTCAGCCAATTGACCATGAAGACAGCACAATGCAGGCCAGCCAGAAAATCAAGTCTACAGGTAAAAGTAGAACCACATGCTCTGAGGACCACTGTCTTCCTGAACTAGCTGGAGGTAAACCCCACCTGGGCTTAGGTGCTTTCTGGGACAAATAAGAGCTGGTTTGCACAAGTTGCTATGTCTGTAACTGATTAATGCAAAGAAAACCAACTTTAAAAACCTGTTGCTATGTAAGCAGAGAGTGTGACAGGAGTGGAGGTTGAATTGTCAAAGCTTCTCTTGCATATCACACCAGGCCTGAGCCATCCAGCAAGGGTTAGTTGTGTTCTCACCAATGCTCTTCCAGCATTACTGGTGGGTGTGCTGGCAACCTGTAGCTTCTCACCTGGCTAACGGTGTTGTATTCAGGAGATTTGCATTTAAGATACTCTTCCAACTTCTTTTTCCTTTGACTATTCTACAGTAAATCTCATTAACTTAGATGAGACCTGCAAACCTGCAACATGTTGTGCTGTGGACTGTGGCCTGGTTTGATGAATGTAAATCCATGGTGTTGTGCACCATTTAGGAAAGTCATTGGGTTTCTGCTTGTGGTACTAGTCTTCTGATCACTGCTAGAGGAGTGACCTGTTGAAGAAAGTGCACGCAGGTGCTTGTGTGTTGTTGTCTGAGGTCAGGCAGATCACCTAAAGTCTCATTTCAAGAAAGGATTTAGATTCTCCTGGCATGTCTTACTTGCTCCTTTAAGTCATTTATGCCCATGTCAGAGGGAAAAGTTATTTCCCTTGTGGAGAAACCTCTTTATTTGCTGCTGTCTACCAGGTGGTTAGTTCCAGGGCAGAAGGGGGTGGTGTTTCAAGAAACCCTGTCTCTCTGCTGGTCCTTCTGGTCTTTCCTTCCTTTTAGATGTGTTTCTCCTTATTCCTTACCTCTGGGTGGTTCCCACAGAATCATAGAATAGTTAGGGTGGGAAAGCACCTTAAGATCATCTAGTTCCAATCCCCCTGCCATGGGCAGGGACACCTCACACTAGACCATGTTGCCCAAGGCTCTGTACAACCTGGCCTTGAACCCTGCCAGGGATGGAGCATTTACCACTTCTTTGGGCAACCTGTTCCAGTGCCATCTCACTGGTTCTAGCACAGATAGAAGATAAACTAAGGTAAACCAACAGGCATCTCCTTGTGTGCCTCCTTTCTTGATCTGTGACTGCTAGTTGGCCTTCTCTGCTCCTGAGATGAGACACTTGCCTTAAAGGAGTTTCACAGGATCTCTCCCCTCTTTCCTTCCCTTTCAGACAACTATTCCGAGGAAGAGTACGAGAGCTTCTCTTCTGAGCAGGAGGCCAGTGATGATGCCGTACAGGGCCAGGTACTGTTTAGGGCATGGCTTCTTACTGTGAGGGCTTCAGTATAGTGTGCACGCTCTTGGCTTATACTTGAAACTAAAAGCCTATTTAACTAAACCATGACAGTGTGGGACTGTCACCAAGTGTTTAGCTGCAGTGACAGAAGGCCTACACAGTAACCCATTTCTTCCACTGTGCTGTGATTTATCTGATCGTGTGTTTGGACTTGAGCTCCCTTTAAACAATAAACATTGGCATCTTTGTGTATCAGCTTAATGGTCAAGGCATCAGTTGATCGCTTCTGTAATACTGATTGGATTTGAAGAGCCCAACTAGATCCCCAGCTGTAATTAAAGGGCCAGTGGGGTCTGAGTCAGTCTTCAGTCTTTAATACCTTATACCAAATAGGTCCTTATGAAGAACCCTCTGGCTAGATGTGAGATGCTTTCAAGTTTGGGTCTTACTTGCCTTCGGACTCTGGCGTTACCTGCCTTCCACCTCTTGGAGGGTACTGAGGGAGGAACCCCCTGAAATGGGGGGCTGTGACTACCCTTGTTCCTTGAATGTAGAACTAGGTATGGTTTTCTTCTCTAAGCTGGCTCTCTGCAGACCTGGTTCACTTCCTTTTCCCTTTGCCATCATAACTGCAATTAAGGCAAATGCTGAATGCCCAGAAGACAAAGCAGCAGGTTCATCTTCTTAGAGGGAACATTTTTAACACATAAATGTTCATGTGTCTCCAAATCACAAAGGTAACACAGAAATCCTCTTTCTGTTCAGGATTTGGATGATGATGAGTTCGAGCTGGGGAAGCCCAAGAAGCAGCGGAGATCGATAGTAAGAACGACGTCCATAACAAGGGTCGGTGGAAATTAGTTTTACTAACACTGATGGGGTTTGGCCAGGGTGCACAGTGCATGTGACTTATGGGGGCAGCACTACTAGACATGGTAGCCCAGCAGAGAGCTTGGGGCATGGCCACAGCATGTGAAGAGCTAGCAAAAGCAGCAGGTTCTGAGAGTGGGGCCATCCAAGATGCGTGTATGTGCTATCTTGAGTGTCCTTTGGCTGCAAGACTAAGAAGCTTGAAAAATTGTGTAAGTGTATGAAGTTAAATTTCACCCCCATGAAGAAGCCAGTGCAGGATCCATGCCCATGTAAGTCCTCAAAGTAGCTTTAAGTGAAGCTTAAAGCTGTTTGTGCTGTGCATGGAAGAGGCCAGTGGGAAGGTTTCAGAATGAAGTTAAGTAGCTCAGTCAGTGTCTGGAGCTTGACAGACGAACCGGAGGTAGTGCATGGGGTGCTGCAGCAGAAGTAGTAGCTGGATATTGAAGACTTCGGCAAGTTGCATGCAACTGTCCAGCCTCTCTAAGCAAGCATGTGTATGCTTGTAAAGTTCATACCTGTGGAGCAGGTGAGTTGTGCTTGACCACGCTGTAATACAGCTTTTCCTTACACAGTATGTTTGCATGTCTGTGATGGCAGTAACTTAGAATTGCCAGGGTGTCTAGGTTTCTTTTTGGACCTAGGAGTAAGTTTGGGGATCATCTGTACCTCCCTTGAGGCTATTTCTGAAATCCATGTTTTGATAATCTTTGAAATAAACCCTATTTTGACCTGAATCTGACACTAAAAAGTTTCTCTCTGAGACCAGGAGCATGCTAGTTCTTATTATTGGTGTCCTTAATATTGTTTTCAGGAGTCAGTGACCAGCCAGGACAAAACGGACCACTTTGTTCTTAAGCAAGCAACTTTCTCATAATAAGAATAATGTCTTTCTAGCCCCGACCTCTGAACTGAGACTAAATTTCCAGTGTGTGGGGCTAATGCAAAACTGGGTTTAGTGGCCTGGTGCCAGCCATGTTCTCCTCCCTTCCTCCTGACACAGGGATGCCACCTCTGTACCAGCACATCTCATCTTTTCTTCAGACTATGCGTATTACGTTTGTCAAGGACAAACAGGGAAGGGCTGGGCAGCTCATGGCAAATCTCAGCTGTTTGGTCCTGCAAGAGACAAATAACTCTTGGAAGCAAGTAAATACAAAAGAAGTGCAGTGGTTTTGCTTGTCTTGTTTTGGACTTGATGCCTGTTGAGTCCAGGATCTGGGGGGTATCAGACTCGGAAAGCATTTTTCTGATAAGTAAGTGCTAAGGACAAGTCCCATAACTTTTCTGCAATGCTGCTAGTGAAATAAATGAGCCTGCCAGCATGAACTGCAGGCTCCTGAAACAACACCATTTTGGTAGAAAACAAATTTGTACTTTGCATTAGCAGATAGATGCCTGTGTTGGTTTACCCTTGTTAAGAACCAGAAAAGTTGACTGCCAAATGTTTGCCAGAAATACATCAAAAAGGTGCAGGAGATCTGGCAGATAAAATTATTTATCTACTGTGTCCAACCAAGAGTGGTGTGCCATCTGTCAGAGCCAGGAGATCTGTATTGCTTGGTGGAGTGTGATCTAGTTTGTTGTAGTACAGGAAAGAAAGTTTATCATAGATGTAGAAAAGCCAATTTCAGCATAAGAACAGCAGAGACTTTGGAATGTCAGGAGTTATTTGATTTGAAGCAGCAGCTACAGCACCAGTGTCAGCTGTGTCTGGGCTTTTTTGCAGATTGAGAGAAAAAAACTCACTTAATGCTTTACTTATGTAAAAGTGTCTTTGACTTGCAGCAACAAAACTTCAAGCAGAAGGTTGTGGCATTGCTAAAGAGGTTTAAAGTGTCTGATGAGGTAAGTAATTCATTCTGTAAGCCTTCCTGTCTTGTGTTGCCCTCTGCTTGGTGCATCTTGCTTTAGTCTTCAGGAACACTCTTCTGTTTCCCTCTAGTTCCCTTCATTTTGTTCTCACATCTGCAGTGAATGTGACCTTTCCTTACACCCTAGCCTTGCATGGAGGCTTGAGGGCCAACCTTAAAATGCCATCAAACATTTTCTACATCAAGTTTTATCAAAAGCAGATTTTGGTAACTGTGTGTGTACCCATTAGTTTTGCAGACTGCTTTGAAATTATCTTTGACCCTTTCAAAGGCAGGTAGACTAGGATGTATATTCCTTGTGAAGTTAAATCCCAGCCTGTTTGATCGTCTTACTAGAACAGCCAGGCAAGATACGAAAAAGTTGGATAGCGAACATGAATTCGTAGGAGAGTCAGTGATCTGGTCAGAGCTGAGATCCAGAACCCAAGAAACCTGTGTAACATTAACTATCTAATATAAAAACAGTTAACATCTCAATTGGCTGTATGTCTGCGTGATGATTTTGTGGCTTGTGGGAAAGAGCAAGTAACTCCTCATGTTTCCTTATGCTTTCGGCCAGTCCTGTTAGCTTTGCTGTTCTTCCCAAGTTAGCGCAGCAGTCAGCATCCATAGCTGAGGTCTCAGCCACCTGAGCTGCTGCTTTTCTCAAGCTACCATTCAAAAAACCAAGTTCTGAACTGTGCACAGCTGCCTGCTTACTCTGGTGTATACATGAAGCAACCTGTGGAAGTTTTGTGCAAGATACCCGTTCTGTTGGGCTTTGCATGTTGGTCCAGCTGATCTTTGTCCAGGTTTCAGGTGCCTCCTGTGGACATCTTTGTCATTTTTACCTGCTTGGTTTTTAAATCAGGGGGTGTGATGGTAACTTTTTCAGTGAAATCCAAGACTGTTGGGAGTACTGCATTTCTGAACTTGTCCTAAGAAAACTGGGACTCCATTAGGGGCCTTTTTAAAGCTTTGTTTATAGAATGGGGTTGAGTAATAGACATAATCTGTGGTTAATAGCTTGTTTGTGGATGCTTAGTCCAATAGGTAACTCCTGCTTAACCAGACACTGACAAGCTTGACCCAAAGCAAATACTTTCTCATATGCATAATGTTTCTGTTGTATATAATATTCTTGCACTAGGAACAGAATCTTACTCCCAAGTCTGGTGTGCTGCATTCCTTGGGGCAGCTCAGGTGACATGGGATCAGTCTGGCTCCTAGCTGAGTCAGTGATGCCTGCTTTTGTCCTGCATGTAGGTTCTGGATTCAGAGCAGGACCCAGCAGAGCATGTTCCAGAAGTGGAGGAGGACTTGGACCTTCTGTATGACACACTGGATATAGAGAATCCCAGTGACAGTGGGCCAGAAATGGAGGATGATGACAGTGTCTTGAGCACTCCAAAGCCAAAGTTGAAGTAAGTGTGGGGCACCTGATGCTGGGCCAGAGAGAGACCATGTGCTGTGTCTGCACAGATTAGGTGTTCTTTTTATTCCCACCCCTCCATCCTTGTTTTTTTTTCCCCATCTTGACCTAGTGTGTGTTGTTACAATATGAATGGCTGCTTGTGAGCTGGAGGTGGTGGTGGGGGGGTCTGACTTTCTTTTAGTCTCATTTCTTTCTTGTTTCCTGTGCAGATGTTTTGCCTGCCCTGCTACCTGAGCACAGGGGTGGGAGTTACTGACAGGCAGGCATTAGTAGAATTAAACCCGGTGTTTTGAAGAGGTGATAGAAACAGCTGGGCAATCTGTGCTAGGGCAGAAGGAGAAGTGGTTGGAAGCTGCAGAAATAGAGGCAGGGATGGACAAAGCAGACTGTGTCTTTCTGGAAAAGCTGATAAGACCCTCTCTAGAAAGAGAGTCTTTGCAGGCATTAAGGAAGCAGAATTGTGGGAAACAAAGGAGCCTCTCAGGCCCCAGGGGGACTGACTGTAGCACACATAGATACGTGCAAGCCTGTTCTGAACCAGCTTTTGTGCATACTGACGTATGGGTAATCACAGCACTGTGGAGCTGAGCCAGGGATCACTGGCTCAGGGTGTCAAGCAGATGCAGAACCCTGAGCTAACAGCATCACTGCCAAATAAAGACTGAAAACATGAGACTGAGCTGCGCTCATGCTTCTGACTGGCATGTGGTTGCGTGCTCAGGCCTTCAGTGTTGTGGTGGCTCTAAAGCAAAGCCTACCACAGCAGTTGGTTAATACAGTATCTGTAAATGCTAGCTAATTACCAGCTGTCATAATCCTAATTAATGTTGAATAACCTAATTGGGCTAAGAATAGATTTTGAGTTTGGAGTGACTTGTTCTCTATCAGTGAGCCAGAAGATGTCAAGGATATGCTGGGGCAACAGTGCTAAGTGATGGGGCTGCTGGCTTTAAAGGCATTTGGAGCTTGACCCAGTATTGCCAGTTGGTAGACCCTATCTTGAAGGGATTTAAAAGTAGATATGGTAAGCATATGCTTTGAAACAAGCCATAATGTTATACTGTACACACTGAAAGCTCATGTCCTGTTCCCTGGAGCTAACTGTTCAGGGATATGTGATTACAGAAATATTACTGGAATAAGAACTTACTATGTCTGGTCCTGTGGAGACACTTTGTGGTTTGCTGTGTCCAGTGCTTGTGTTCATGTTTTGAAAGGATGTGATAAATGCTGATGTTTGTAAGCAGGTTTTTCCTGCAACAAGAACAAAAAAAAATCAGTTCCTTAAATTGTAATTGAGTCTTGTAGCTGGTGTGATGATCTGCCTTTTTACATGGAAGCACAATCTGATTGTGTGTGCTACCTTATCTTCCTGAGCAACTGTGTAACCGGATCACAGGGCTGGCAGCCAAATCCAGACGCAAGCTGGAAATAAAATGCATATTAGCAACAGCAGTCACTTACCCACAGGAGCAGAGTATCCATGTGGGGCAGTAACTCTATTTTCTGTATTTCAGTCAAGAAATAGACACTGTCTAGGCTGGCATGTAGTTCAATCATCATTTGCAAAGCTGAAACAGGAACTACAGTGTGAAACTTTGCACCTTGTGCTTGGGTGGTGAGGACACAGCTGCTGCTGTGGGGTAGATGTGCATTTCTGTTCTGCTGTGGGAAAATGCTGGACCTGCATGCCCATCATGGATTTTCTGCTGTTTGGTGTGTAGCCTGAGGGCATGCAGATATTCCTAGGAAGAGCTTTATAAGTATGATGTGCTGCATGACAGGTGACACGTTGGATCCATCAGATGGAAGTCTTATCAGCTAGTGTCAGGGGTAGGCAGAGATCCCTGGAATTTATGACTTCTCCTGCTGTCCTGGAGATCTCCCTCTCCTTTCAAAAGTAGCCTATAAATTTTACTGGAACCACTGGGGAGCAGAGAGACACCCTGGGAACAGTCATGTTGCTTTGCTGTGAATGTAGTGGACTTTCTCTTGTTAGTGGTTTTGATAATAAAGAGACAGGTTTTTCTTTCCTTATTCAGACCTTATTTTGAAGGACTGTCACACTCCAGCTCTCAGACAGAAATTGGTAGCATCCACAGCATCAGGAGCCAGAGAGAGCCATCAAGTCCTGTAAGTCATGTTTCATGAAGGTTATCTATCTGCAGGTAATATAGCAGACTTGCACTGTTATCTATTTGCATGTGTAAATTAAAGCACCCTCTCTGACTTCCTCCAAAGACTTGGGTGCAGAGATATGAATTTTCTGCTAAGAAGACATGGCAGGGGGAGGGACATGTTTGGGGTTTTGGTTTTTTGTTTTGTTGTTTTTTTTTTTTGTTGTGGTTTTGTTGTTGTGGGGCTTTTGGTTTTGTTCGTGGTTTTTTCTAGTGTTGTGGAGTTTCTTCTTGGTGGTGGCTTTTGTTTTGTTTGTTTGGGGTTCTCTTTTAATCAACTATTGTATTAACTCAAGGGGACATCTTTATATTATGTATTGAATACTTGCTAACAGTATGAATAGCTTCCATTTCCCATGTACTTGAAATGACTGCTAGGATGGGAGATGTTGCCTGGGAGGTTTAGGTATTCCTTGACGCTGCTGGAGAAGGGTTTACCTTACTGCTGTTGGGATACTTTTCATGGTGGCTGGGAGCAAACACTGAGGGGCAGCTCAGCCTCTTTTCCATCTGCTTGCATATGGGCACATTAGGTTCATAGAATATTGGTCCTATTCCAGGGCACTTCCTTACCTCTACTGTGTATCAGCTACTGCTTTGCCCATCCTACATGAATGTGCTTGGTCCTGGTGTGTGTGACCAGCCTGATCGAGAGAGCATGGCTGAAGGCTGTGCTGGTGCCATACCTCCTAATGATTTTTTTCCTCTCAAGCAGGTAGAAGTGCCTGAAAAGGCAAAGAGTATTGGAACCAAACATGCAGGCGACAGTATTTCTGACACTGTCACTTATGTAAGTTGAAAACACACTTGTTAATGTTCCTCCTGACAGTTTGGGTGTCAGCTGTGAACTGCGTTCTGTCATTTGTCAATATGTTGGTATAGCTGCATATGCAACACAACTCAGTAATGTTAGCTGCAGTGAAGATAATGCTCAGCTCTCCTCCTGACCTTAGTTGTTGGAGGTTCTTGTCTCTCAGCTTTTTGAAACTCAAATGCTGTATGTGGCCTTCTGTTGAAACAGCCTTTCTCTTGATTTGAGGAAGGCTGGCCTGAAGTATGCTACTGAGCATGTGTATTGTCCTGAAAAATATTCTCAGGACTATTTCATTTTGTCAGATAGAAGTATTACTTCAAGCTGAATCAGCAGAAATTAAGCTGATCCTGGGGTAAAAATTGCAAAGCTCAAGTTGCTCTACTGGGGACTTGCAGTTTGCAATGTTTCTCCCATGTCTTTCTCTCTCTGCTAGTTCATTTGGTTAAACTGAATTAAACTGCACTGCATGAGAAGACATGTCTCTGGCTTTGAGCTGGAAGAGTGCCTATTCCAAATGGCATATCTAGGCACCTTTCCTACCTCCATCTCACCTGTGAGGCAGGGCTGAGAACTGGGAGCCCTAGATAGCCAGTATCTGCTTCTCGCTTTTGGCAGCAAGTAGCATGTGCGGAAGAGGAAGGCTGAATGTGCCCCAGACAGAGTTAAGCTGGGGCAGCTCCTGCCAGCCCTTGTGGTAGTGAGGTGGAGGGGGAGGGTTTGTTCCTGATGAATCGGTTCCCTGTGTTTTTTCAGGAGCCTAACCAGCAAGCTGAGGTCCCTGAAGCTGAACTTCCCACGCCAGATGTGTTTGTTGAGAAGCTCCCACCCAGTGGGAAGATCACCAAGACAGAGTCCCTCATTATCCCATCCACCAGGTAGAGTGGCGACACAGCATTGCTGCAGGGCTGCTCGGGAACTCATTGCTAACATTTGTTCATGATGGCCTTCAGCCATTGACTGCCAGGCCACCCTCCTTGTGTTCAAATACTTAAGTGATGGATCTTGAGCACTTAATAAATGAATGCTCAGAACCCTGAAGGGCAGCATTGCACTGAGGTTGCTCTTGTCTCCTGTGTTGTACCTGCTCCATGTCCAAGGAAGTTTTTATGAAACTCTGGAGCTGCTTGCTGAAAGATAATGTTGCTGAGTCAACGTCTGATGCAGATTTTGGCCTTAAGGGTGGTTGTCAAATCTAACTTATGTCCTGTTCAACATTCCCTAATTGGGTAGTAAATGCAGGCTTCAGCAACCCCACCATATAGTTTCTCCAGTTATTTGCAAGCAAATAGATGTTCTTTTGAAGTATTTCTGTGCTGCTTTTAGGGGTGTGAGTGCTATTTGCTTGGCTGGATCCTGTTATGCTTGTGTAGCGACAGCAGGGTGTCAGTGTAGGTCTTAGCATGGGCTGTGGAACTCTGCTGGGACTCCTGGGATCAGGCTTTGTAGCTGTACTGTGTGCTCTGCACTATCAGAGGCAGAATTAGCAGACAGATCTTAAGCTAACTCAGATCTATGTGCATGATTCCCTAATGCCTCCCATCACATTGCTGAGGCTGCCAGACTTGGGTGATCTGGGATTTGGGGAATGTATATCTGATACAAGCCAGGTTTGGAATGCAAGCATGTCTCTTTAGCAGGTCTGAAGGGAAGCAGACTGGACGTCGGGGAAGGAGTACATCTCTGAAGGAGAGGCAGCCCGTGAGGCCACAGAACGAGAGAGCGAACAGTCTGGACAATGAACGCTCTCCAGACACCCGGCACCACTTACAGGTGTGAAAAAGATTGCTGTCTCTGCAGCCACTCATAGTTTTTCCTCTTCTCCAACTGTTTCTTGTGGTTCCTTTCCTTCTGGCCCAAGTGCCATGCTTGCTCGAAAAGATCTGGGACCTGTGGCTTCAGGAAAGAGGGAATTTGTCTTGACTGATATTGTATCTTACATCCAGTCTGCTGGGTTTTGCCAGTTTATTGCTTTGTCAGGCCACTATAAACTGAAAACACTGGAACAGATTGTTATGATGAGAAATTGATAGGGGTGTGTTGAGGAATTACTCCTTTGAAATAAGGCAAATTGCTAGGGATTTCAAAAGGGGACTGACTCGTGCAGAGCATATGTGCCATTCTTTTGTTAGCTGTGGGACACACTTAATCCGCTTCTTGAAGGAGATTGTTCCTAGCTTCTATGAATCCAAAATTCCGTGCGCTACTGTTGGTATAAAGTGATGTAAGTAAAAGCAAATGGCAGAAAGAATAATGGCCAGTGAAACCAAGGTGGCTAATAGAGGAGCCGCAGGGGAGCTGGCCATGCACAGCTTCCTCGTACAAACTATAAAGGCTCGCACTGGTGGCTTGATGATTAGAGCTGACATCTCTACTGTTCTCTTCTGTGTCTTTATTTCCAGATCCCCAGGAAAACAGTGTATGACCAACTAAATCACATCCTGGTTTCCGATGACCAGCTGCCAGAAAACATTATTCTTGTCAATACTTCTGACTGGCAAGGCCAGGTAAAGGCAGGAGACGTTACCTGAAGCACAGTTCTCCTTCACTGTTCCTCCTCAGGAATGGACAGGCCTTGAGCTCTACCACTAACCAAGTAGGTTCTGCTGCTTGGTTGGAAGAGCAGTGGTGGTGCGTGGGGGCTGGCAGCATACTGAGTGTTCAGTGCCTACAGATTGGATTTCGTTTGACCAGGAGTTGCTGTGGCTCTTGTAAAGCTTTACCACCTGAGTCTTCCAATAGAGTTTTTCTCTTCCATGAAATGCTGTTCTTTCTGGTTAGCAGCACACTGGGAATGGCTAGATCTTTGCACTCAAGAGCCTACTTCTCAGCTGTGGTAGTCTGGGACAAAGCAAGCAGGGAGGACTGACCTTTGGTTTTGGCTGAGATTTCTAGGCACAGGTGACAAACACAGGAGAAAGTATTTCAGGTCAGCTCTGTGTTGCGTTGCACGTGTGCTTGTGATTCCTGACTGCAGGTATGTCACCCTGTTTTTTCTGACTGACAGTTGTATAAGGAGAACCCCGAACAGTCCTTTCTTACGCTGTCAACATGGGATGGTTTGTTATAATTTTGGAACAAGTTTTGCTCCTTTCAGAGCCTTAGTCTGAGAAAGCAATAAAATATACATGGAAGAGGACCAATAAACGTATGCAGGGTGACTGTGGCCTACAGAACTTATGCCAGACTCATGGAGTTACATTGTCTGGTTTGGCTTTCTGCTTCTGGAAGAACTAGGATCTCAATATTTGAGGGAGCAAAAATACCAGCTGAGCTACTGGTTCTTGTTTCTCTATACTTGGAAGGCAGAGGAATGCTTTCTGGAGATGGACATCAGGCATTGTAGGTCATCTTCCAGTAGTTCTAGCAGCTTGTGCTTGCAGTACAAGAGGACATGAAGATAGCATTGGCTGGAGTGTACAGAGTAGTGGTGCAGAATTTGAAAGTGTGAGATAATTGCCGAGTTTCATCAATCATCAATATTATGTCCATGTTAACTTATTTGCCGTTAGCTGCATGGAGGGGAAACAGTCTCTTGTAAGGAATGTGTGTGTTGGTAGAATTGTTCCCCTTTTAGTGCTTGAGGGTGGCCAGAACATTGCATTTGTTTAAGTCCTTTTGAAATCAGAGGGAAATGTAACTGCAGTTCCAGAAGCAGGTGAGTAGGCAGCATCTACTCTTACCCAGAGCTGTCTGCTAGGTGAATGACCTGTTGCTGCCTTGCTCTCTGCAGCCATAAACTATTGCTGTTATAGAGTTGTCGTTGCCATGTTTTGGCTATAGTGTTAGTGTTTGTCAAGAGGGTGCAATATTTCAATTTTTCTAGAGGAAGAGCTTTCCTTTGGCTGATACACAAAGATGAGGTTTTGGGAAATAACAATACCACTTACAAATTGGACATGGGGAGAGTGCCCATGCTTGAGTGTGAGAATACCTAGGAGACTGGGGAGACAGATTTTCTTCTTGTGACAGGGTGTACAAAAAAAAAAAAAAAAGACTATAAAATGTTCTGTTCTCTCCTCAGTACCTATCAGATGTCTTGCAGAAACATACCTTGCCAGTGGTCTGCACATGCTCTTCAGCTGATATTCAGGCAGCTTTCAGCACTATTGTCTCCCGGATACAGAGATAGTAAGTTCTCACCTTGCTTGTGTGGTTTGTTGAGGCTCCGCTCTAAAAGCTTCTCAGGTCCTGTGCCCCACTGCCCAGGGAGTTCTCCACCCAATAGCTGTGAAATACTTCCCTCTTCCAATGCTTCTCCCCAGTCTACTCTCCTGAAGTCAAAGTTGTGTGACTCTTCAGCACTCGCAAGCCCTGCACGTTGTTGCTATTCTGCCAGGTGTGTGAAGGTACAAGTCTCCTTTCATCGACACCAGTGATTTTAAAAGATTGTGTTTTGGAGGCTACCTCATAGGTCAGATCTAATTAGCAGTAACGCATGCAAAGCTAATGGGTTTTTAAATAGTTCTTCCCACACACCCCTGTGGTGATTCCCAGATTAATTCCTCAAGGTGTTCCCTAGGTACTTACTAAGGGCTGTGGGTACCTGAGTATGTTCTCTGACATAGCAGTTAGTTGCAGTAAGTACATTCTAACCTGGATAGGTGAGTCCAGTCCTTTAGATTATCCAAACATGTGAAAGAAGGAGCAAGGAGGCCAATTAAGAAAGTACTGAACAGTGTTGCATTTTATTAATGGTGTTTGAAGCTGCTGATAATCATTGTGATATTGCTTTGTGTATTGAAGAAGCTCTCTTCTGCTGTAGTTGTTATTGAACACTTTTTTTTTTTGTTTTTTTTTTGTTCTGAAATACCTGGTTGGAAGCACAATGGTGAATGTTTCCTCTTTTTCTATCTAGCTGTAACTGCAATTCGCAGCCTCCAAACCCAATTAAAATTGCAGTGGCCGGAGCCCAGAATTACCTCAGTGCTGTATTGAGGCTCTTTGTAGAGCAGCTGTCTCACAAAACCCCAGACTGGCTTGGCTACATGAGATTTTTGATCATCCCTCTAGGTAAATAAGGATCAGTTTTTCTTCTTAGAAAGACGAATGGGTTAAATGTGATGTGTTCTCTCAGGAGAAGCCTTCGTGGAAGCTTTACCTAGGTATATGGCTATTAAATGAGGCAAATGTCATGCTGTCGTAGTATTGTTTAATGCTTGTGTTGCTGCTTTTGCGTGAGTGAATTCTATCTTTACTTTCTTGATGCCAAAGTCTGCTTGTAAACCTTTTGTTTGAAGCAAGGGGTTGAATATTTCTGTCCACAAAGGGAAGCTCTTATATATCTTTTAATGACAGTACAATGAATGTACAGAATAATGTTCTAGAAGCCATTTCCCTGGCTGAAATCTTAAATTCATTGGGCACTGTGTTTCCTAGAGCAATAACTGTTCTGGCTTCCCCGAGGCTGACACAATAAATGTTTATGGAGGAAGGGGGTTTGACAATTTTTTAAAGGCTCTGAAACTGCCGAGAGATTAGATTATTCAAATTACATGTATCTTTTGACCTTTCCTTTATGTGCTGTTCTCCTCTGGTTTTTCCCTCAGTTTTCCAGCACCTTATCTCTCTGTCCTTCCAGCAACTCAACAAGCCTGCGTGGCTGAAAAGTTAGCTCAGCTTGGACTGCTTGTGTTGGGGGAAGCAGAGTAGACTGATAATAATATTAGGGGTCTTGTAGTCATCAGAAACGTAAGGAATGTTGTAGCAGTGATGCCTGGGAAGCCAGGTGGTCACTGATGCTTGTGGGCAGGGGTATCTGGGCAATGTTGGTGGTATAAGGGCATGATGCCAGAAGCCAGTCTAGTCCGAGGCTTGGATTATGAACAAGGAAGGCACTTAGGTGATGGTGTGGGTAAAAGAAAACTTGAAAAGCACTTTTTCTCAGTATTTTCCAAGTCATCTAGGTTTGGGGCCATCTCATGGCAGTTGCTGTAGGAGTCAGAAGCTGCTGCTGGGCACCATGAACAGTGCGGTTAGGCTGTTAATTTGCAGAAGTCAAATGAAAAATGCAGAGGAAGAGAGCTGAATCCTTCAGTAAGGAAGGCATTTAGTTTCCAAAGTGGTTGGCAGGAAGACGAAAAAGAGCCCTTTAGGGGGTAAAAACAAAATAATTATTTTTGCAAGGTTAAATGTGCTTTGAATGAGAGTCTGTTTGACTGAGAGCTTTGGTCCTTGCATGCTGTTTGTGTCCTGGCCTCAGAAGAAGAGTTTTCTGTCCTGCAGTCTTTAGTGACCTGAAAATATTGTCTTTTTGAAAGCAAAATTCAAGATTTAGCTATTGTGTCTTTTGGGTTGTTTTTTTTAGAACTTTCTTTTAGAATTTAAAAAAAACCAACAAACCAACAACAGAAAAAGCAAAGCATTTTGTTAATGGAACTGCTTCAGAATGGTGAATGCTTTTTAAATGTACTTTAAATATAGAAACTTCTCTAACAGGACCTTTCCCATAGAAGTCTGCAGTATTTCCTGATCGGATCAAGTGCTTATTTTCTGGCCAGCTTTCTGGCAGTTCATTAAAGTGATTGAGGAGCAACCTCTCTTTTCTAACAATAAAAAAAAAGCACCAAAGACAGAATAGTGACTGTGCCAGAAATGTCTAAAGGGAAAAGACTTTCTACTGTTAGCAGCACCTTCAAAGTAGGAATGGCAGAGTTTTTCCTAAGATGGTGTTACGTGCTTAGTTCACAACTACGTGCTGCAGTGACAGAAGAGTCAACCCACAGTAATTTATTAACAATGAGAAATGCTTAGTGTCTGTAAGCGTCCATACTGGGAGATTCACTCCTGCTTCTGATTCTATGGCTGAAGGACTCCTTTGATGTCCAAACCAGTGTACAAACAACTGAAAAGGGGCAAATAAAATAAAAGGTTGGGGATAATTTTGGCTGTTTGGGTGTTCTGGTTTTTTGAGGGTTTTTTTAGCATTTTGATTAGCTCCCAAGGATAGAACTTCTTGAGGACCTTGAAGTCCACAAGCACAAGTTCAGTACGTGCTTCCAACTGCATCTGCCACATGCAGTGTGTTTTCCCAGCGTGTGGGAAGGCTTTTCCAGGGCATGGTGCAGTTTCCACGTGCACTGTTTAAAACTCCACTGAAAAAGAAATGATGGGTCTGAAAGTAGCCATGATCAGTAGTGTCCAGGAAAGAACTTAGACCACAGTCTGTAATGACCTTGAAAAGAGTTCAGAGAGACCTGCTGTTTGAACCTTTCCTGGAAGTCTGGAAATTAGCTCTGTTTTGGAGGACTGAGAAGACAGTGGGGTTTTTCCACCATGAGCTTTACTGGAGGGTGGTGAGTGTAGTTAAGCAACTGGGTCTTCTTGGAAGGAGCTGTCAGGTTATCAGTTACCATATGATGACTCAACTATTGCAGTCCCTGGAAGTGTGGCTTGATGTGAGAATTTGATATGCAGGAAGGATAAAAATGAGCCAATTAGTAGAAACTCTGAGGCTACTTCATGGCTCATTGTAAATGTACAGGACTTATGCTGAGCATGACTGAATTATGGAGACTGGAGAATGCAACTCTTCTTACGTGTTGAAAAGACTGAAAGGGTAGCTGAAGAGCAGGTTGTATGCTCTGGGGACATGTGTGACCTAAACTGCAGGTGGGAAATTTTTACCATCTCCTAAGGCAGAATTTGTCACTTAAATGCCTTCCCTGTCCTGCTCAGTATAAGTATGAAGTCAGATTTCCATCCAGGGCTGCAAGCTGGAGGCTGGACACACAAACTTCAAGCAAGTAGATCTTTCATGTTCATAGAGGAGCCATAACACTTAGCTAGAGCAAGCAGGTACCTGATGCATATGCCGACATTTACTGGGCGACTGTAATACTTACTGCCTCCTGTCTTGAATTCCAACCTATTTATTGAACTTACAGCCCTTCTTCACCAATTAAACAGGCCTCCCTGGGTGGTTGTCGTTGTTTTTCCTGGCTGGGGACAATTGCCTGTTCTTGGTATTGTAAAACAGCTGTGGTGTGCAAATGGTGTTTGGAGGAAGGGGTTCTGACTCCTTTTTGCAGAGGTGCCCTGGCTGGGGTGCAGGCTGTGGGCAGGAAGGGCTGCTGGGAAAGCCCCTTGCAAAACTGAGAGACTGAGATGGAGAGCTGTAGGGCATCCATGTCTTCCAAATCATTTATTTCCTCAGCAGTTTCCCAGTCCTGTTTTCTTTGGCTTTTTAAAATTTAATTTGGCAGGGGAAAGAGGGAGATGTCACTGAAAGCTATCAGTGGTGTTGAAGCAGTCTCTCTGCTGGGAATTTTATGTGCATGCTCTTGTAGAGCTAAGTTGGACTAAATCACTTGGTTATAATTGAAGAAATTTATTTCTGGGGTGTCTAGTGTAGTTTAGATTTTGGAATTTAATTCCTTACAGATAAAAGAACACGATGTTTGAGGCTGGGAAGAACAGCTGTCATGTTTTCATTTCTTTTTTAGGCTCTCATCCAGTGGCTAAATACCTGGGGTCTGTAGATTATAGATACAACAACTTCTTCCAAGATCTAGCCTGGAGAGATCTGTTCAACAAACTTGAAGCACAGACCACTGGTAAGACCATGTTGTCTGTGTGTGGCCTGTGTGAGATGAAAGGCTTGAATGAGTAATTTTAGCAAATGTCAAGTAAATACAAGAGGAAGCAGACAAATGTTTTTGTTCCTCTTTTCTCCCCTCTCCACCACATTCCCTTTTCAGATGCTGACCTTTGTGTGTCCTCCATGTGGTGGTTTGCAAACAGTTGTTGGCTCCCAGAGGCACTAGCTGCCTCTGAATCATGCTGGTTTTACCTACCTCTCAGCTTTGTTTTTTGATGTGGAGGTCTCATTACCAACTTTAGTACATTGCTTTCTTTGGCCTTTCACAAACTGTCCTGCCTGAAAGATTTGGAAAACTGGAAACTCTTGGAAGATTAACTTCTATTAGTTGTGTGTGGAGATGACCTTGACATTTCTGAAGTCTGCTGGCAGGATCTTTCTTATTAAAGCATAATTTTATTCTTCACCAGTGTTGTAAGAAGTGGGAGCTGCCATAGGTCAGATCAACAAGTTCCTGTTCTGATCTGAGTCTGTTCTATGCCAGGATAAAGCCTTACAGTGTTAGTGTACTAATTTACTTAAAATATTAATGCTTACAGTTTTTCCATCCATTCCTTCAAGGACAGAAAGAAACAGGAGAAAGAAAGATTTGTATCTGACATTTAGGGCTACATGAAGGCTTGAGACTTGACTGAGGAGCAATGCCCTCATGGCAGCACATCCCATACAGAAATTTCACTATACGTAAAAAGCTTTGGAGATTTTTGAGCACCAGGAGGGTGGGGAAGTTGTAGTATGGTTCTCCTGTTGGAATTGCCAAGTGCCTGGAGTTCCCACGATGCTCCTAGAGTCCTCTAGCCACGAGAGGAGGCAAGAGAGACCTCTTCACAGGTAATTGTTCAGAGCTTTTTCCAGCAAATGGGAACTTGGCAGGACAAGTCCCTGGACAGCCTGTTAAGGTGAAGTTAGCCCTGCTTGGAGCAGGAGGGTGGAGTAGACATCTCCTAGTGTGCCATCTAACCTATGCTTTTCTTTGATTCTAAGCTTGTGGAGGAACAGATGTCTGGAACTGGTTTCTTTTCATTCCCTGCTGCACTTGAAAATGCAGACAGACGTCAGTATAGACTTATTTTTTTGTGTCTGGGTTAGAAATACTTCATTAGCTATAGAAATCCAGTTTGAGAGCCGTATCTGTTCTTTAGTTGGTTGTATGTGGCAGCATTTATTTGTTTGCCTGACGGTTAAGAGGAAAATTTAGCCTCATTTTTTGTGTAGTCCAGACCTTTCAGATTCTCCATTTTCATCTGTGCAGTGGGAACTGCAGTGAAACACCGTGATGGCACATGATGATTTGGCAGAGAATCCTAATTCTTCACAGTTCACTGTTCAAATACAAAGAGTCTGTGTTAAAATGCTCATTAAGGTGCAGAAGTGCCTGGTGATACTCACTTACATTCCCTCGATCTCATAATTGTGGCTCTTTGCTTGAAACCAAAGAAATATGGAAGGCACTTAGGAAATGTCTTCCTGTCAACTTGAATCAAACACAGTCCCACAGATGCTCTGGGGTAGGCTGCAGAGCTTCCTTCGGAAGATGAAGTTGAGATGCTGGCTGGGTACCATCTGTTCTCCATTTGCTTGGCTGAGCAAATGGAGGACAGTGCTGGTGATGGTCTGAGAAGTCACTTAAATTACTTTCTGTCTTTGTTCTATTGCAGTTCCAGAAACACCTGATGTTGTCTCCCGGATAACGCAGTATATAGCAGGGGCAAACTGTGCACACCAGTTGCCCATTGCTGAAGCAATGCTGACATACAAGCAGAAAAGGTATGTCACTAATGTAATACTCACTCTCCAGATCAACACCAGGTTAAAAACAAAGTGCTTTTCTCATCTTGTGTGCCAGCAGTCTTAAAGTCACTCCAAATTGCAAACACCTTGTGAGCCAGCCTTACAGTAGCCTGCACTTAGTGGTGTGTCCCATTTAGGTAACAGTGAGTCTACAACAGTGTAGTTATTTTAAGTGCGATGACTTCTTTGAAGACATGAGAGATTTGGGGAAGTGGGGATGAGGCAGAATGGGGGAACGGACAGATTATATCTGCTTAGGTTCCGGACATCTCTTGCCACAGAGATCTTGGGTGTATAAGACTGGACTATGGCATTCTCACCCAAAGTATCTTCCATGAGACCTGGCCTTTTTATGTTGGTGTTGAGGGAACTGAAACTGAACTCTTTTTGGAGTGTAAATAGCAGAGCTTCTCACAGGAGAGACAAGTTCCTTGTTGATTGGCAGTTGCAGGCTACCAGGATTCCTACTGGGGAGGGCTGACATTCACCAGGTTTTATTTCAGCTTCTCTTAAGGGATAAACATCCTGTAGGAGGGAGGATTGGGGTCTGAAAACAAGGTTTCAGAAAAATGTTGAGCCTCATGTGGCCGTGGTCCAGGAAGAAGAGTTATTGTCACTGAAGGGCAGAGGTGCATTGTTTCTGAGGCACAGAGGGGAATAATAGACTCCAACTTACATCCCAATTGTTTCTTAGAGCAGGACAAAGGACTAGCAATCTCCTGTGAGATATGGATGCTGTTAATTGTTAATTACTACCCTTCCCATGCTATAGCTGATCTTCCATTTTTGGTCCATTGACATCCCCCGTTAGTGCCTCCTTTGCATAAGAACTGGAAGGAATTAAAGGAGTGGATAGAGTCACTTTTTTCCCCTCTTTTTGGAAATGCTCATTGTATATTGATTTTTCATTCGTGTATCTGCTCTACATTACCTTACAGAAGTGATTCAGTAGCATTTAGCCCATTCTTCACACTCTCCTAGGGAAAATATTTCCGGAGTGACTAGTCCATTGGGAAGAGTGCGCTCTCTTCATGTGTTTCTGAACTTCTGTGATGTTAACCTGATGAAAGTGATGTTTGGAGAGCCACAGGGTACTTGAAGCTCTTAGCTTCAAGCTTTTATTTTGTTTTTGGTGTGAAGACTTACCTTAGTTACCAGTATGGAGTTTGGACACCCTTAGTGCAGTGTGAACCCATTCTGATGGCTGCCTTGTTCTTTTTCCACATCCTTTGGTTGCTGGGTTCTGCACTGCTCTCCACTGCTTTCTCTATTCTGTGACAGGTTCATTTTTGTCATTAACACACATTTTCAGTTTCTAATGTCCCCCAAAAGCTCAGTTAGGTACTTTGTTGAAAACCTCTGAAATGTACTTCAGCAACACAGAGGATTTAGCTCTCACTAGCAGTGTGTGTGACTGCTTAACCAAGCTGGTCTGATGATCCATTTGGATTTTAGACGCTTTGGACTTGGTGGTATGGTATCTGAAGCTGTTGATAGACTTAAATCAGGCTCAGACCCTGCAGGCAGTTACTTGGAAGAGAGATTGCTGAGACTTTTAGTCAGACTCCTGGCATAGGCTACAGTATCTGTTAGTATCTGTTGTGTCCACTTAGAGGAACATGCTCTCCCATGGAGTGATGAGCAGTTAACCTCTCCATGTGGCTTTCTTTAGAAATGCAGCTCTCTGTCATTGGCAGCAGTTTAGGGAGGGTATTGCAACAAACAGCACAGAAATCCTGTCTCCATTAGCACTATTGAATTAATGCATCACTTTGCTGTAAGTATAATAACATTTATCTCTTTCTTTGGTTGCTTTCTGAAAAGGAAAAAGAGCTTTCATTTTGATTTTACCTTAAGGTATCAGTTCCTTTTAGGTTCCCTCTCCCATCTCCTGCCTCTTTTCCCCCATGAACTTGTCTTTTGAGCCTTGTTTAACAGTTCTTGCAGGTCTGGGATGCACAATTTGTGCTTTAGATTAAATTCTGCTTGCTGCTGTGAAACTGTAGCGTCTGCTGGCAGAACATGTTGTTGACATTGACTGCTCTGCCTTTGGACCACACATATAGGTTCCCAGGATGTAGGTTGAATGGAAATGTAGGGGTTATTGAGAAAGAATAGCTTTGAGCAGTAAAACACAGAGAAGGCAGGAGTTTTTTCTTCCTTTCTTCCTAGTCATCAGAGGATATAGTATAGCTCCAAAAGGATCAAAACTGAGCAAAGGCTTTTCAGTTCCCATCTGTTGTAACTGGAGTGCTGTAGGTGGCACTCGGTGGCTCAGGGTGGGGTTCAGCTGTGTAGTGCCTAAGTGCAGACCAGCAAATCTTCTTCTTCTAGTCTAAAAAATTGAAGATTAGTCTCTTACTGGCAGGCTATGGGCCTTCTCTGAATTTAAGAAAAAGGAGACAGATGTATGCTAGCAATGGAGTTGTGCTCTCTGAGCTGCCTCTGAGACCCCCCCTGCTCTGCTGGGTCCCCTGCTTCAAATAGTACGATTATTGAACATTGTTTATTTTGTCCTTAGTTCACAAAATTACTGCAACTCCCTCTCCCTCAAGGCCAGAGGTGAATGCCTTTTCCAAGGCCAGCTTTCAAGGCAGTGGTTTGTGTAGAAACAGCAGCGCTACCTACAAATTCATTGCAAGACAGATCTCCCAGTATCCTAGCATTTGCTCTGTTAAACAAGCCCTAGTGGTCCAAGGAAAGCCAAGCCAGTCTTTAGGATGTAGCTGTATGTGATGAGCTGCTTTATAACTTGCCAGCTGTCCCCTCTTTCACTTACCTCCGCTCTCCTTCCTGGCCCTTTGTTGTTTGTCATGGCAAAAGGTTGGCGCATGTACTGCCTGTGATGGACTGCAGTGGTGCAAAAGCTTTGTCCATTCTTTTGGAGCATCTGCTGACCTTACCTGAAATAAAGGGGGCTGTCAATGAGGAAGGGGTTCAGAAAGGAAATGAATTGCCATTTCAGCTGCTCTGCATTACATTGGGTGACTGACTTAGTCTGTGAGCACTGGGAGAATTACTTGCTACTGAACTGTCAAACACTGCAGTCTAGGCAACATCTGGGGAGCAGAGAATATGGAGGCAGATACACCCCTCTCACTAGGAGGGGTGTATCATTGATGTTGATATCTCTCTGCATTGCTTTCATGAATGAAACCCTGTTTTATTTCAGACCTGAGACTTGACAGACACTCCTTCCCGGTGTGGCTGGGTTTCTGATCAGTTCTGCGAATCTGGGCTGGTGTCACCCACTATAATTCAGTGTCCAGCACAGCTCATGACATGTGCCCTTGCACAAATCTGGGGAGCAGCTTGGCTGTTGGAAATGAAAGCATTACTTGCTTGTCAGGGCAAGGGCTGGATCATTTCCTACCTAGTTACATACTTAAGAAGCTCTTCACTCTCATATTTTGTAGAGCACTTCCTCAGCTCTTGCTCCCTGGAGCGTAAGTGCCTTGGACCGGGAGGTTCCTGGGGAATAGGAAACAGGGATAACACTGTTTTCTGTCTGCCACTTGTCTCTGAGGCTCTGCAGGGCAGTGGCTAGGCAGAGTCCAGGTCATTTCTCTTGAGTGCTGCTTCTAAAACACACCCTGCAGCAGTTGCTGAACATGAACGTAGATGGTGAAGACGGATCCTGGTCCCTTCTCTGGCTCAGCAGTGCCCATGTCATCTGGCTGGTTGCTGCATGAACCTCTTTGGGCAGCTCATGGGAATATAACAGGAGTTTACTTGTGCCCCTTGTGTGGCAGAGCAGTGCATCAGCGGAGAGTCAAAGCTCAAGAAATGTTGGATGTCCTGTTGAGTATGTCCAGACAGCTGTAGGAACAAGAAGGGAGCTGGATGGGAGTTTCATGAGGAAGCAGAGAAGTGACTTACCTGATGTGTCCTGGTGACCTGGAGCTGTTCTGTCCCGCTGGAAAGTTTGACCACTGGAGACTTGGTGGAGCAGGGACAGTGTTAGCCAGCAGACAGCTATAGTTGCCCAGTGGGAAGGATGGATGCTTCATACCAAAGATGAACCTTGGAGAGTTGTTGGTAGTGCCTGGCCTGAAGTGGCTTAGAGGCCTGTTAGTCCAGTAAAAGCTCTCTATTTCCTGTTGCACCCCTGCAGGACTTGCCTGGAATAAAGGTGGTATTTGAGTCACTCGTGCAAGGAAATCTGTTTTGGGTTGCTTAAATTTTAAATAAAATCTTAGGAAAAGGCTAATAACTGGCATAACTGGTGTGACTGTTCAGTCCCTCTTACTGTAATACGTGAGTGCTTTGCAGCTTAGTTTGTACTTTGCCCCAGAAGTGTGAAAGATTATTCCTTCTCTTTGTCAGGTGGGTGACTCCTGGTGGTGTGGTGGCTTGTCATTTCCAAGAGTCCTAAAACATGAATCTGACTATCTGTCTTTGTTCAATCTGAATTAATTTCTTGTTGTAGGGAGGGAACCTGCAAGTCCATTTCTGGACAGTTTACCTTTCAAGGACTGACTGCAGGTGGATGGATTTTGCCAAGCAAAAATAGTAATTGAACAGGTCCCCATTCCAGATAAAGACTTTCTTTCTAGCCTCTCTGCATAGGTCCGGTTTTTGGTTTTCCCCAGAATGTGTTTGTTGGGGTTTTTCCCCCCAGAATTACAGAGGTGAAGTATCAATAATGCTGTTAAACATCAGAAACCACAGCAAGGCCTGGCTTTAAATTATAGCTGAGATACCAGGGCCTTCAGAAGCCCTATGGATAAAATTAATGCCTTGGACATGGCTGTGGGGGTAAAAGCTCTGCACAGGGAATCTGTGCAGCCTAGGTATAAGGGGAGGCTGCCTTATCAGAGACGGAATATTTTAGTTGCAGGGCTGTGGTAGGAGGAATAGAAGAGACCATCACCAAGCTGAAAGGATTCTGGATTATTTTGGGATCCCGAAGAACAAGAATCAGGAAAGAGCATGAAAGAATTGCTGAAAAACAAGCACGGTTATCTCATCTTTCCTTTCATCCACATGAAGAGCATCTGTTTTGATAAGTTGCATTTTCAGAGGCACATGTGCAAGATCAGAGTTCCAAAGGTGTGCGACAGGATTAGACTAGCATAGCTGAAATCCAGCCGATTGCTTCAGCAACAGTTTATGCATCATTGTGAGCTGTGATAAATAGTGGCTGAAGCAGATTCTTTATTTCAGAATTGCCCCTGAGCTCTCCTCAGTGGGAGTCTTAGCTCCCAAGGGGAACAAGAATGAGTTTTCTGATGGAGTTGGGCATGGTTTGATTTTGAGAGCTCAGAGCAAAGCCATCCAGTAGCTGAGAGATGACTAGGAGATTACCGTGCTTCCCTCACTTAGTCAGCAGGACTCTCTTCTGCCTGCTTCTCAGCATGTGGAGCTGAAGAGATGAGAAGAAAGCTGAGCCTCTGTTCTGTGCTTCTCCCAACAGCTCTGTGTGTTTCTTGTTTCCCTGTGCAAAACTGGAGCTGGAAGTGTCATGTTTGTAGATGTATTGCTGGGGAGCCTGCAGCTGTTTGGAAAGATAGGACCTTTCTGGCTTCCATCACAGAATCAGGGACTTGGTCATTTTGTCATGTGCTTTGCGGGAAGAATGAAGGTGCAGTGCCTGGGGTTGTGAGGTAGGGAGCAAAGCCCCTGGCTTTGCCTTAGTCCTAAGTAAGCAGAGCTGAGCCAAAGTGAGAGGCTGTTTATAAAAGCACACTCTGCTTTGAACCAGGAGGGAGCTCTGTCCTGGGTCCTGTTTGCTGCAGTTTTATGCCATTCTTTTCCATGAGGCTTAGAGGAAACTGTCCTGCCTGTGTTAATCACACAGCATTTGGCAACCTTTGTTCATTTGATGCATTTCTGATCTGTGCTGGAAACAGCACAGAAATACCTGCTTTCCTTAAGTGTTTGTGCTGTACCCAGCAATATTCTGGATGAAGGAAATGCTGGATGTTTTTTCTTTGAATGTTGCAGTGCTCCAAGCACTGAGAGATGCACAAAGAGAAATGTGAGAAATCTCAGTGTTTGTCTGCTTCCTACCAGTTTCCTGTGCTTGGCCACCAAGAAATGTTGTGTGTCTTGCCCATATAGCCACTTCTACTGCTGAATCTTAATTCATGGACGTGCTTCTGCAGTCCTCACCCTGTGGGTCCCTTTATCTCTCTGCCTTTGAAGGGAGTAGTGGCTCTGCAGGACCCCCCAGCCTGCCTTCCTCCTCACTCAGGTCTTCCCCCTCTTGCCTTTGTTGGGTTTCTCCCTAATTCCTGCTAGGTTTGACTGTGGCTTTCGTTGCTGGCCCCTTTCCACCCTCTGGCTTCTGAATCCTGGGCAGGGCCAGAGCAGGAAGGGCTGATGCCTTCCTCCTTTTAAAACATGTGTAATGTTGTCTTCAGCTGTTTCTGGGACATGGTGTGCATTTTGTTCAGTTTCGTTTAGCTGTTTGCTTTTCTCAAGTTGATGTCCTGATCCACCTGGTGTGCTCTGGTGCCCGACCTCTCTAGTGTGCCTGTCTAGGGGTCTGCAAGCTCCTGGTGGCAGGGAACATGTATCTGTGTGCATGAGTATGTGTGTGTACACGTACTTGCTAGTGCTCTACAAATAACCACGTGTCACAGCTTGTAACCCCGTGGCAGGCTAACTGCTTTAGCGATGCTGGGATATGCAAGGTATGGCACATGACTCCAAAGGTGGGACGCGTGAAGGCCATGCGTGCAGAGTGCTTCAGGTACTAGTAAGTAACACACAGTTCTCCGTGTTGTTGTGGCACAGATCCATTTCCTTGCAGTAGGAGGTTGTGTGTCTGTAATGACTGCAATGCCATTAAAGCATGTTCCTCTGTCAAGCGTGAGGGAGGGAGGAAGAGACCTTTCCCCTGAGAGATGTGCCGTAAGCTGCGTGCTCTTCCCCACCCATGCAGATTCTTAGCGTGCTGGCAGGGGGCCTTGAGAGGAGACATTGGACTGGCGCTTGCATACTATCCGTCCCTGCTGCATGCTTGAATGCAACATATGAAGTGAGTATTGTGCCCAGCACAGAAGCAAGCTGTTAACAACTCTTTTCTCTTTGTCTTTAGCCCTGATGAAGAATCTTCGCAGAAGTTCATTCCCTTTGTTGGGGTGAGTGTTGTCTTAGTTACACTGTCTCAAGCCAGCTAGAATATGTCCACAAGTGTTAACCTAAATATATCAGGTTTCTGGGGTAGAGCAGGAGCAGTGGGTGCTTTAAGGTAGAGTGTCAGCATCAGCATCTGATAGTTGAATGCATCTGCCTGGGATATAAGCAAAACTCTACAATCCCTCAACAAAGTACAGGGTATATTTTGCTTTCCAGGAAGCTGGCTCTGGGCAGCTCTGTGCTGCATGCCTGCAAGCACTGAAGCAGACACCATAGCCTTGCTCATTCAATACAGAGTAGGAAGTGTGACACTGAAGTGCTCTGATCCACAGCCTGTCTTTTGCTGCAGACCAGTGCACCTACATGGTGGAGGGTTGCTGCTGTGCTGCATGTGGAGGAAGGTGGTGTGTTCCTGGAAACCTGATCTCAGTGTTGCTGTGCCCAGCATTGCCCTGGGTGATGGATTTGGCCAAATTTGTTATTCCAGTGTCAGTCTTCTGCGTGCTTGTCATGAATGATCTCCAGTCCTCATCTACTCTGGGAAGTGGAGAGTACTTCCCACCAGGGAGATCATTTTATATCACTGTTAAGTTTGAGTCTTGGGCAGTAGCTATTTAATGAATTTTATTATGTGAATATGTGTTTAGAATAGCAGTCTCTGACTTTTCCTCCTGTCATCGTCATTAAATATTCCCAGCTCACGTAGCTAAGTACAGGGTATGTAGGCAGGAGTGTGTTTGTGTTTCTGTCAGTGTGTTTTGTGAGCTGTCTACTTTGCCTTTTATAGCTTCCCTCCCGTTATTTGATCATGCTCTTCAATTCAGTAAGTTTTAGGTATAAAGTCATTGACCTATGGCCAAAAGGATTTCCCTGACTGCTCTTCAGCTGCTGGATGACCTCCTCACAGTTTTTGCTTCACACTCTTTTGTAGCTTCTCTTTCTTGCATGTTGGCTGTCTTGTTCTGCCTTCTCTGTGTTAAGCTGACTTGTGTGTATTCCTGTTTGTATCCCTGTTAGTGCGTCAGAGCTAATCTTAAATCCCAGGGCATTTAAAGAGCTCAGTCTCTCTTGCCCTCAGGCTGTCTGTGCTTTCACTCTGGTGTCTCTTCAGAGTGAGAGTCTCTCTCTGTCCTGTTCCTGAGATGACAATCTACTTTTGTTTGCTGAAGGAAAGATGTCTTCTGCAAAAGCGGAGATGCATCTTCCCGATTTGTACCCTGCTAATCAGCTTTGCTGTGATCTTGTCCATCCCATGAACTGTGATTGCTGGTGATGAACTGTTGTTATGAAACAGTTGTTTCACCTTTCCCAGTAACATGAAAATCTCAGAAGAACTTGGAAGCTCCTGGAGTTGTCTCACTATAGCTGCTAGGTTCTGCAAAGCTTTTCTTTGGGGCCTAGTTCAGTGCTATGTGCAAGAAAATGGGGCGCAGAGTGTTTGTTCACTTGCTCTAAAACATTAGCAGTGCATTTCCAAGTCTGGATTTGATTGTCTGAAAGCAGGAAGAGCAAACAGCTCTGTTGTGTGTATAATGCTGCCAACCCCCAACAAAATTTGCCTTGAAAGCACAGACTGACTTTGTGTCGGCTGGTGATGAGGGGCAAATCAGTGCTGCTTATTCTTGCTTCTGAAGTGTTCCTAGCACAGTAATTCCCCATGAGACACATCTGAAGAGACTGTGAAAGGTCAGCTGCAGGTGTCTCAAAGTCTGAGGCTGAACATGAACACAGAAGCTCTTTCCCCCGGCTGCAGCTCTTTCCCTCGGCTGCAGCCTGCTAAAGCTGTAGGCCAAGGAAGAGTGGGAGCTAGTGACAATTGGGTTTGTGTCTCCTGATGTTGGCTGGTCTCTGTTGGCTTTTAGAGTGCAAACCCTGATGTCCTGCAGCTGGGTTGTAGAGTCTGTGACCCAGATGCAAGCAGGGCAGTGATGTGCTGCTCAGCTGGGCTGGGCTCTGGAGTGGTGGGAGTGGAGCCTCATGAGGGCCCAGTTGGGTGTGAAAGCCTGAGTGTGGTGGTGAGAGTGCATGGCTGTGTGCCTGTGTTGTGCCGACAGCCAGTTGCCAGGGGAGTTAACAGGATGCACCCCCTTCCTGAAGGGAAAGGAGGCTGGCTGCTGCAGCATTCCTGGATGGAGGCATTGTTAGGACTGCAGTGGTCTCAAGTGCTTCTCTGAGTGGAGGGAAAGGAAAGCGTTTAACCTTTTCTTCCTCCCATATGTCTGAACCCAAGTATCTTCCGTCAGCCAGCAAGGAGGAAAAGGCCAGAGAGATTTCCTGTCTGGCTTGCAGATCAAGGTGGCTGTAGGCAATTTTGTGTTGCTTGTTCTTCCCCTAACTCTCCTGCTTCACCTCCTCTTGCTCACAGCTAGTTACAATGTGTGAAACATCCTCTTGGGGATTAATACATACAGCACAAATGGCTGCTGAACTCCAGAACCCGATTTGTTGCCCCTTGGATGGAGACTGGCTGAACTGAGCTGCAGCCTCCTTCTCCCAAGCCAGTGCCTGCTCAGGGAGCCTCTGCACAGACTGCTGAGTTCATGATGGCTTTTCCAAGACTGGAGCAAACAGAATCCACCAGAGAGCCTGACACCTCTTCAGGATCTGGGGTTAAGCATACACCTCCCCAACTCCAAACTGTGCAGAGGTTTTGGCTTCTAAAGATTAGGTCCTTTTTCTTGATCCAGTAGCACAGAAATGTGCTCCCTAGAGATGTGGTATAGATATGGTCATGTCTGAACTTAACAATCTTCTGTTTTCAAACTGAAATAGACTGTGTGACATCACTTCTTACTCTAAAGCAGGTTTTATTGATTTGAGATCCCTTTGCAGCTCTTTGCCATTTGTCAACATTTATATAGGGTAGACATTACTGCTCAATACAAGTATCTTAAGGACCTAAGAAGGGTCTCTCCTCTGCAGTGTTGAGAGTAGTGATCCTTGTGCACTGTATGGGTGATTGCTACAGAAGGTCCCTGCTTTTATATCAGCAAGGGTCATTTTGTCTTTGTAGGCATAGTATGTTCTTGGGAGCTTGTGTTTGTAGCATGCTCTCTTTCACAGATTATTGCCTGTGGCATTTATCATTAACCTAGCTGAACTAGCTAGGTGGTTGGCCATATCAGAACACATTTGTATCCTTATTATATGAGATTGGGATCAATCTCATCTGTCCATGTGGTGGTTTATCCATGTCTATGCTCAGAGGCTTAGCTAGGAGCTCTGTTGTCTTTGCCAGACACTTCCCTTTTTTGGAGACTAGAAAACTGGTCAGAAAGTGTACTTTGCTTTTGTGGTTTCCTAACAAGCCCCAGCTATGCTGCACCCTAAAGTGGCTGCACTGGTGCGGTGGAAGCAATATGTCTGTAATTAGCAGGTGTATCAAAGCAATGCTAAGGGGATATTTATGTTCCTTTCTCCTCCCTGCCCTATTCCCACAGGTGTCACAGGCAGGCATGGTAGTTGCCATAGCTTGGGGCTGACAATGGGCTGTTCAGAGCTGTGCAGGTCTGTAACAGCTCCACAGGCTCTTTGCTGTCTTCTGTATAGGGAAGGGAAGGGTTGTGAGCTGGTACTGCTTGGCTGGACACTGCTGGGACCTGCCTGGCTCTTAGACTTCACTTTTTAACATACTTTAACACTACTCTGACTGCAGGGACAATGCCAAGGGGGCTGTAGAGATGAGCGTGGGTGGGGATTCCTGGAGTTCATGGGTCTCCTGTTTCATACAGATCTTCCTTTTTGCCCTCTCTAGGTCGTGAAGGTTGGAATAGTAGAACAATCTTCTGCAACATCAGGTAATGAGCATGTTGTGTGTGCTCTGTGTCATACAAGTAGTGGGAGCTTCACAGACTGAACAAACTTGTCCATTGCTGACATCTTGGAGTTTTGTAAGGGGGAATTGGGTCTTGCTACCTCTCAGTTCCATTGCCTTGAATCCCAGCAGCTGTCTGCAGGAGAGGCCTACTTGAGAGAAGCCCTTTCTATTGTTATACAAGGAGCTTTAGGCCAGCTGAAATCCCCACACCCTCATCCAGGGAAATTCTACTCATATATGTACAAACACCCATTTTTCTTACATGTGTTCTCAGAGGGGTGCAGTCACTGCTGTGGTTATTTGAGGTTTCTACTCCAAACTGGGGAGGCAGTTCATTGGAAGTTCATGCCTGTCTCCTTACACTCCCTCACAGATAGGGCTCAATTGCCTAATAAAATCAATCTCAAACATGTGCCTAACGCTGGGAACTCCAGGGTAGGCAACCAGCTCACCAATCTGACAACAAATTTAGACACTTTTTTTTTTTAATGGCGGAGTGCAAAGCTGAGGTACACCATACTGCCTGCTTACACACATGGGCATGAGGTAGTGCTGGTTTATTAATGTTTTCTCCTTCTCCAAATGCAGTTCTAGTCAGGAATATTTTTTCCCTCATCTGTTGGGATTGTTTCTTACATTGCTTCACTATTAAACCCAGATTCCTTTGGCCTGGGTTACACATAGGTTTGTGTGTAGAGGCAGCCCTTCTGTGGGTCATTCTGGGGGAGCCCGGATGAGTGTGAATGTTTGTGCCTGCCTCTTACCCAAACATAAAGTTCCACAGTTTAAGTGTGGAGGCAGTCAGAAGTAATGGTCTAGGTGATCTCTGGATTGAGTCTGCACAAAACCTGTGCAGCAGGAGGGTGGGCACTGGGACTGAGCTGTCCCCGTGTGCATGTGCTGTGCTGTGCGACAATCCCAGGCAAACAGTTTGACTTCTTTTCTGGAAGGTGACTCTGATGACGCAGCTCCCTCAAGCTCCAGTGTCCTTTCTTCTACCCCACCTTCTGTGTCTCCTGCTGTGAAAGAAGCCTCCCCCACACCACCTTCCTCACCATCTGTCACAGGCAGCTTCTCATCCTCAAGGTAAAGCATGTTTTGTCTCCTTTCAGCTCCCTTGGCTGTCTTAACTGACATATATGTGAGAGAGGAAAAGTTTTGTAAAGGAAAACCCATAGGTCTGCTGTCTTCCTCTCTAGAAAATACTTGAAGTTGTCACCTTTTCCCTTCACCTCTTTTGCCTGTGGAGTGACTGTGTCTTTGCTGGCTGATGAGCTGGGAAGGGCAGGGGGGATCTGCACTTCTCAAGGGCAAATTTGAACTAGAAGGGAGAGCCTTGTTTTTGGTAATCTGGCAGAAATCCTGATTCCGATGAACCATTGTGGCAGCCTGTTTGGGAAGGTTTATGTTCTCCGTCTGTTGGTATTTTCTCTTTGAGACTAGATTCTTTTAGGGATATCTGTAGCCAACGAAAATACTGATCCTAATGTATGTGGATGCTAGCTTAATTCCTCATGATTCTTATGTGTTTAAGGACCAAGTGAGTATGAGGTCAGAGTGACTGTTGAAGAAGGAGGCTTTTTATCTGTGATGGGAGACCTGGCAGGTGTATAAGATGGCTTAGTGGAATTGCAGTTCCCATTCATGTGTGTGCTTGAAAGCATATCATAGCAGCAGGAAGACAGCATCTGTAGGCAGTGTGAAGCTCTGGCTTAGCTGAAATGTTTAGGGGTGACAGGAGGAAACCCCTATAAAACTACAAGTAAAGAATTGCCCTTGGCAGGACTGTCATATTGTTGGTGTGAGAAACATTGGCATAGCTGTCTTTAATGCTTTGTGTGCAGTTCTGGTACTTGGAAGCAGATGGTGAAGTTAAAGGTTATGCGGAATTAACAAGATCAAGGGGACAGAGCAGCAGCCTTGTGAGGGGAGACTAGAAGTGCTGGACTCTGTTAGGGGGAAGGAGAGGAAAGAGGTTAAGCCACTCAAGTTCTGCAAAATCACAGCAGTGGTGGGTTTGTTGAATATTGAACTGTCATTCACCAAACCTGTGGTACAAGACCTGGGGGCACACAGTGACACTGGCAAGAGGTCAACTAAAAGGGAGAAAGAAAGGGACTTCTGCACACAGCAGGAAAGACATACTGGGACCATATCTGCCTCTGCTACTTCTGTGGCAGCTGGGTTGACAGATCAAAGAGGCAAATTCATGGACAGCAGGTCCATTAGTGGCTACTAAAGGATGATTCAGGAATGTCCCCTCTAACATCCCTAATCCTGTTGTTGTCGTCAGGCTGTTGAAGTTCAAGGAAATGCTCTGCATTTAGAGACTGGGATCACATGTTCTCCCTAAGCAGCATCTCCTATTGTCCCTGCTGGAGACAGAATGGGGACCTTTAACCTCTGACTTCTTAAACTGGCTTAAGAGAGTTCCCTTTTAACAAGAGGAAATGGGAATGTGGAAGTCCCAGTTTAGCAGGTGCGCAGCAAGTGGCAGGTGTTAATGGTTGTTAGCCTGTGCCAGGATGCCCAGTTCCCCAAGTCCTTCCTGTTGGTCCCCTGTGGTTGGGTGACAGGAGAGTCCTGTCTGCCCCAGGCTGGTCCCAGCAGCTGGCTGGCAGTGCAGAGAGCTGGGAATTGTGTTGGCTCAGAAAAGTCAATCTGCCTTATATGTGAGCTCTGTGGGGGCTTTCCAAAGGTGGAAGTGGTTTGGGAACCCATGCGCACAAGACTGTAGGCTATTAAAGCTATGAGCCATGGATGTGATACATCTGAAGTTGACACCCTGGTTCTGGGTTCTAGTATCTCTTGGTTTCATGCTGTGTGGTAAAATTATCAAGAAATGAGGAAGTTGAGGTTCAACATGGTTCCATCTTCACTGATCTGTATGTGACAGCATGAGGTGGAGGGTGGCCCAGATTGAGCAACATGTTGTAACTGGGCATGGAACAGAAAATCCTGTGTGGACATAGTGAGCATTAGGATTCTTTGTGTTTACAACTGAGATGAGAAGTGTGATGCAAAGGAGCTTTAAAATCCAAAGCTGCATCTCCAAAACATCATCCTTGAAGAATCTCACTTCTGAAATTGCCCTGAGAACTCAAAGCCTAGTTTTAATGATCAAAGACAAACTCTGCAGTCTGGTTTTCAGGTGAATAAATGGCAAAGAAAAGGAAACTGATTTGCAGAGAGGACTTTAATGATGGGATGTTCTTGTTGTACCTTGAGAGTTTCTCATTAGACAGGCAGTGTAAAGGGATGCATATTTCATTCAAGATCATGGATTTATCTTCCTTGACAATTGCCATTTGTTCAAACAGGGGATACAGACTGGTAGATACATTCACTTAGTTTTTTATCTAGTATTTGCCTATTATTCAGCACTCTGTCATTGTGTAGGAAGATGTATAGGCTGTCAGCCATAGGTATGCTGAATGATAAACCCCTGCTCTACTTGGGGTTAGCCAGCAAGAGGCAGACAAGGGGTGGAATTTCCCAGGCTGCTTATCTTCCCTTTTCTGGCTCAGGAAAGGTTGGCAGCATGTTCTGGTGACGCACATCTGTTACCACATGATGCGTGGCAGGTTTCAATAGCAGATCATGTCCTGAAATCTGCCGTTGTTTAGCAAACATCACAGGACCTGCAGAGCATTTTCCCACCTCTGGAATTCCCCAGCACACAGCAGAGCTGCGGGGCAGATCGCCCCTTACCAACTCCGTTACAGGGACCTGGGGAGAGCAGGGATCCTATGTGACTTGGTGGAACATCTGGACAGGAAGGGAAGCACTGCGACAAGAGGTCATGAACGTAAGGGATGAAAGCAAGGCAAGGTGATTGAGAACTGAGTGCTTAATGTTGAGAGACCTGCCGTCTCTTTGTTCACCCCAGTTCAGAGTTGATTTTGGCAGTGCTGCACCTGACTATTCAGTCATTCACTTGTTGGTGCTCAGGAGGCAGCAGCAAGATGCTTACAGCCTCTTCCCCACTCAAAGACTGCAGGTGATCTGGGCCACCTCAGTGGCCACGTTTGCAGGCTGGGTCACTGAACTCAGCATCATGTTAGGAAACTGTTTCTTTCCCACTGCTCCTTCCCTATAGCTTGCAGCAGGTCAGCTTGTCTCAGTTCATTTCAGTTTTGTGCTGCCAAACTGATGCCACCATGTAATATGACCCAGGCTACATCACTCAGTCGTGTCTTCTCATGCTTTTGTGATTATTGGGTCTTGCTATGAAATGTTGCTGCCTGATTTCCCAAAGAGCCAGGTGCTTGTCCTCTGACCAAGAACAACTCTGGAAAACACAGATTGAGGGAGCTCTGCTGAATGCTGCACAGAAATTACCTTCTCTTGTTTTCCAGCCAGAGCGTTGGTGCTGAGTTGATGGGCCTGCAGGTGGATTACTGGATTGCAGCTCCACCCATGGACAGAAAGAGAGACCCAGAGAAGAAGGACCCTTCCACTACCAAAAACACACTGAAATGCACTTTCCGGTCCCTCCAGGTCAGCAGGTTACCTGCCAGTGGTGAGATTGCCACCACTCCAACGATGTCCATGACTGTTGTGACAAAAGAGAAGAACAAGAAAGGTAAGGCGACCCATTTACTGTTGCCAAAGGCCAAGAATACAATGCTGCTCTCCCTGTTCTGCTGCTCCAAGGCTGCCCAACTTGTCAGTCCTGCATTACAGCACCTTAGTCATGGTTTTATCCCCAAAATCCTTGTCTGTCTATAGATGAGAAGTGACTGAATAAGGTGATAGTTTGAAAGGGTGGTTCCTCTTTGTGCTGTAAAAAGGGGATGTGTTCACCCTGAGAGCTGAACAGCTGAGATTGTATAGCCCAAAAGAACCAAGGTGGGGACAAAGCAGAGACATCTGTGGGTGTCTGTGCAGAAAGCCAGGTGGCACACTGCTCTGGACAGCTTCCCTGTGTTTCTTGTGTGCATGCTGGTGCTGGTTTGCAGTACTGGACTAGGTAAGAGGCAGCTTGTGCCCTGACTGCCAGAGTCAGGGCAGACCCAAGGCAGAGCCTGTACAGCTCCATGCTCTGGTCTGTCCTCTGCCACATGGCAGAGGTGCAGACAGAGTCAGGACTTGTGTGCATCCTATCATGGCAGCAGCCCCAGCAGAGATGTTTTACTGGATTTGATGTGGTATCCTTGTGTTAGAATACCACTGTCGCAGCCGGACAAATGCATCAGCCAGACCTGCCAAGCCATTGCTAGGTGTGCTTGCGTATACAAAAGGTGGTGTCACTCAGAGCAGGGTTGCAGCAACATGCTCTTCTACAGGAGCTCTTATGTTCTTGTACAGAGTGCTTTGTGGGACTAGAGGAGGTAGAAGAGGAACACTCTCAGCACAAAGCCTGATGTTAACTTTTTAAATTTTTAATCTTCTGCTCTTGAAGTCTTATTTTGTCAAAACAAACAAACAAAATGCATTTTAAATGTTGTCGGTAATCCTTGTATTTGATCCTGGCCTTGGTAATGTGAAACAGTAAAAATTGAGAGCACCTCTGCAGTGAAGTATTTTCAGGGAAGCAGCAAGGCAGTTCTGCGCTTTCATTCAACTGCCAGTAGCTGTCCTTCACAACACCTTTCTGCCTTTGGGCCCGGAAGTCATTCTTGGTGTCAGCCTGGGTTTTTGGGGTCTCTGAGAGAAAGCTGATGGAGCCAATGGCTGCAGGACATGGGTGCATAACCCTACAGCCAGGTGACTGTTGGCAACATAGCTATGGCACTGCTCGTACCAGAGCTCCTACCCCTGACCACATCCTTTTTAAGCACTATGCCTATAGGAGAAGCAATCCTGTGACACTCAAAATGTTCTTCATTTGGGCTGGCCCGACCTGCAGCAGTGGTGTTCAACACCACCAGCTTTTGTGGAGTCAGTTTGTACATCTTTGCTTATATGTCTGGACAGTTCTCGGGGAACTGGACCCTCTTTTAGCTCTCCTATTGCTTACCCTCTCCACCAGCCACCCACGGTTTAGTCCCTCTTGTTCTCCAGGTGACTGGTGCAGCAGACTTGCCTGCAGACAGAGGGAGACTGGAGCGCAGCGTTGCCCGGCAGCGTGTGCAGTATGTGGGACTGTCCCTAGGTGGTGCAGCCGCCTGGCAGATCCCTCAGCCAGCGCAGGACACAGCCTGGGCACCGGTACAGATGCTGCTGTTTTCCCTGGTGTCCCAACAGAGCAGCAGGAGTTACCCTGAAGGTGCCCTTTTGAGCCTGGGTTATGAGCTGAGAATGCTTCACATGGGGACACTTAGGACTAAGATGTTCATGTGCATAGGTGATGGTGCTGAGCACTGACACAGTCAAACTCCTGCCAAATGGATGATTTTAGGAGTTAGAATTTTCAGACATGAATGTTTAAATACAAAAACCCAAACAAGTCTTGCCTGAGAGTGGCATAGATTCACTGTGTGCCGGTTTGATTTTCTTCCAGTGATGTTTTTGCCCAAGAAAACAAAAGACAAAGAGATTGAGTCAAAGAGCCAGTGTATTGAAGGAATCAGCAGGTTGATTTGCACAGCGAAACATCAGCAGAACATGCTGCGTGGTAAGTGCAGCACTTGCATCCTATCGAGGTTCTGGGGCGAGGCTCATGCTAGCATTGTCCTCCAGGCAAAGGGCTGCCCTGGTGTCCTGACCTTATGCCCTGGAGCCAACATAATGGGGGTGTTCCTGGGGAATGGGCTTGAATGTGTTTGGCATAGGGGAATGCTTTAATAGGTCTTTGATGTGGGAATATCCTCCCTTACCCAGAAATTCCTCTGAATCGGTGCCTTGGGTGGTGACAGTGGCTGGCCCGCGTTCCATTCCCCTCCCTGTCATTCTCTGTCTTGCACGTCTGGTGCAAGTGATGGTGGAGAGCAGTGGCTACTTCTCCGGTCAGGACTGTGGCACAACAACTTACCACAGCAGGAGCCACATATGCATCTTGCAGACAAACCTAAAGGGGCTGTCAGTGGAGCTGTGCCACCAGTATCAAAACTATCCCTATAGACTATTCAGTTGATAATCACCACCACTGTTAACAGCAGAGGGATCTTCTTAGGTCACCTCCGTAATCCTGGCCCAGTCCCTGCGAGATTGATGAGTGTGAGGGGTGGTCACAGAACATGTGGCTCCTCTTTAGAAGATGTGGATCTGGTTAAAAGTGCCAGTGATGAGAGACTGATGTCCAACTCTTACAGAGTGCATTTGCCCATAAAAGAAAATGAAGTGTATTTGGGAAATTCAAGAAATCAAATCAGGTGACACTGAAATCAGCAGTCTGAGGAGCTCCAGTGTCAGTGAACAATGCTAGAACAACAATCTGATCTGTTCTCCCTAAACCTGGTCTGCTATGGAGTTTTTCTCTCCCCAGTGTGTGCAGCTATTTACAGTGGTTGGGTGGCCAGGCAGAGCAGCGTGTACCCTGGACACAGTGGCCAGGCCTCCCTCTGCCAACCTCTGGGAGGTTTCTAGCAAACCTGTTTTATGTTGGCCACTTCCATTTGGTATTTTCTAACTCTCCTCTCTTTTTACTGTCTCCTGCAGTCCTCATCGATGGGGTGGAGTGGAACGATGTCAAGTTCTTTCAGCTGGCAGCACAGTGGTCCTCTCATGTCAAGCACTTTCCCATCTGCATATTTGGACACTCCAAATCTAACTTCTAGCCATACTCAGCAGAGGGACCTTCTGTCTGTCCCAGGACTGCACACCAGGAGCCAGGAATTGCGTGCCAACTCTGACTCGCGTCTCTCTGCCCTCTCCTGCAGAATTAATTACAGATGTGCTTGGATTACTTTTGAATTACTTTTTTCTATTAACTCTTAAGTTTACTACAAGGGAAGGAAACCCCTTTAAACAAAGGCAAAAAAAATCCCAGTCTTAAATATAGATGTGCTGACAATATGAAGTCGTGGGGGAGTTGGCAGGAGCAGGCAACCTGCCCAAGAACACCTACCACTTACAAGCAGATAGCTGAATAACTGCACTGCTTATTAACCTGAGACCTCATTGGTGTGAGTGGTCTGGGGGAGCCATGGATCAGCTTGAATGGATTTTGCGGAAGATCATGTGGTGCATTTGGCCCACTCCCCTTTCTTTCTAGGAAAAAAAAAAGGCCAGTCTTTCTTCCTGCTGCCAAAGGATGAGAGATCAGCAAGTCTGGAAGGGAGTTCAACTGTCCAGCCTGGAAAACAAACCACTTGCATAGCTAGAGAGGTCTGGGGAGGAGATCCCTGAGTCTGCCATGGGGACGGGCAGGTGTTTGCGCTGAAGTGAAGCCTGAGGAGAGTTGGACAGGAACTGGAACTAGGGAAACACTATGTGTAAGGAAACTCCAG